TAATTCGGAACAGAAAATAAAAAATGATAGCATCTTAGTAACACCACATAAATAATTTCATTCTTTTAGAATTGTATGATGTGGAAAATTGAATTCAGGATTTTTTAGTGGCTCCTCAATACCACGCAGATCATATACATATCATATACGCATTATATACGTGTGTATTGTTTATAGACATCTTATAGATCTCTACAAATATACATATATCAAACCTAAACATCTGCGATTATCCGGAACATATCTAATGAGTGCATATACGTAATATAGATTTCATATAGATGTATGGATATTCCATATATATCTAATATACGTATATTGTACTTATCGTTCAATGTGGGATGGAAAATATCTAATGAGCGCATATACGTAGTATAGATTTCATATAGATGTATGGATATTCCATATATATCTAGTATACGTATATTGTACTTATCGTTCAGTGTGGGATGGCACGTGTAGATAGTATTCTATCTAAATCTTTACGTGGATAGGAGATAGGCGTCTCTTCCTGAAAGTTCCTCCACTTCCGATTCGAGTAGTCCTCTTATGACTGATCCAGTTCACCGAATTCTCAAGTCTCAAGTAAACCTGAAAAGCAGCGGTTTCCTCAATGCATCAGTCGAACTCGGTGGAAGCGTCTTCAGGATACTCCACTCAAAGGGATGTGTCCTGGGTAAGGAATATATCTCAAGGAGTGCCCACTTACGTGTGTAGGTGCTAGTAAGAAGTGTTTCGAAACTCCAAATCATGATTTAGAGGGTTTTAGGTTTATGTTTCACCAATTTCTAATTAATTTCCTGAGTTCGAATTAACCTAGAAAACATTTATTGCTCACGCCTAAATTTTAAACATAAAATATTACTACTTGGAATAGACTTATTGTGCGTAAAGGATGAGATAATCTCATATAAAATGGATCAAGTGAGATTTTGGCATAAGAAGTGTTTCGAAACTCCAAATCATGATTTAGAGGGTTTTAGGTTTATGTTTCACCAATNCTAACAAGGAAGGTATCCCAGGTCGATCTCTCCGATTTGATTTCTTTTATAATATGTTACAGTAGACTAAAAACTAAGCGACACGTATTTTTTTTTATCTGCCATTAAACACTTTAAGGGGGTGAAACCTCCATCCAAAGTAAAGCATGTCAAGGGGCGATTTGGCAGTTTCACCACAAGAACATAATATTTTTTAACCAATCCACTTGGAAAAGCTTTCTCATAACGAGAAATGAAAAATATAATTTTTTCAATTAAAAAAAAATGAAGGGGTGAGCCACGCCTCACAAGCTTTACTTTGGATGGTGGTTTCACCCCCTTAAAGTGTTTAATGGCAGATAATCAAAAATACGTGTCGCTTAGTTTTTAGTCTACTATAACATATTATAAAAGAAATGAAATCGGAGAGATCGACCTGAGATACCTTCCTTGTTAGCGAGACGTGACTTTATAAAACTGTTATCAGTGCCTTTTAAAAATGGGATTTTTATTCCTGTCGGGATGCATTTTATTCGGAGGTTTAAGCAGTGCTTTCACGCGCGTTCTACTTCTATTCCGCAAGTCTTCGGGTCCAACGAACCCCGAAAGCTGCACTTTCCTGAGCTGATCCAACCAGCTTTACACAAGATGCCCCTCACATCCCAGATCCGAGTACTTGCATCTTTAATTCGAAAGGGTGGGATCGAAAAGGGGTAAAAAATGTTTGGGAATCAGGTTTACGTGGCAGGCGATCTGCCCCGCAAAAGTGCCCTCCACCAACAAAACAATTCTCTATCTTCACAATACAAATATCATGAATTCACATTATGTTATAATTTTCTGAAATTACGTGGGAAAATGAATACACTTATGTCCTAAATTTATAACACATTTCATATATTTTCTTCAAATATTTTATAAAATTGGTTTACCATGTTCGAATAATACTTCGAAAAAAAATATTATAAAATTATAATATTCGTTTTTTAATAGTGTACATAACCTCTGACACCTTATGAAACGTCAGATGAAGCATTTCCGTGGCAATGATAATTCTACAATTTCCGAGGAAAATTAGAAATAGGAATCCTGGACAATTCCCTAGTAGCACAAAATATTTGTCCTAAATTTTCTATATATTTAACGAATATCCTACAAGTATATTAACTAAAAATGAGATTTTACATGCAAAGATGCTCGAATCTGAAATACTTCCAGGTGTTTTACGATTTAAAAAGTATATTAACATAGAGCCTAGGTTCCACCTAAAAGCAGCCGTGTTCAGATCTTTTGTTTAACTAAAAATGAGATTTTACAAGCAAAGATGCTCGAATCTTGAATACTTCCAGGTGTTTCACGATTTAAAAAGTGTATCAACATAGAGCCCAGATACCACTTAAAGGCAGCCGTTTTCACATCTTTTGTTTAACTAAAAATGAGATTTGACATGTTAAGATACGCCAATCTGGAATACTTCCAGGTGTTTTACAATTTAAAAACTATATTAACATAGAGCCCAGGTACCACCTAAGGCAGCCAGCCGTCATCCGCATCAGCAGTAGGCAGAAAAAGCCTCCACCTCCCAAGATCCCCAATTTCCTGAAAATCGCGTCCAACCCTCAGGATTCCCCGAGCCATTTCCCGTGAAAGTGCTCCGCCACTTCCTAACCTCGGGTAGTCCGGCGAGGGCCGAAAGCACCGTCTCCCCCTCGCGAGTAGAAGCCAGGTCGTCCCGGTCGGGCGAAGTAGTCGCGTCTCTAATTCGCGAAGGGGCGCGTGTTTCCGCGTGTAGAGGTGGCAGGAAGAAGGGTTGGGAAATCAGGCTTCGGCGGCAGCGTCGCCCCCTCCCCTGGCGCCCCCCACCCGGGGGCAGTCGCCCCGGTGGGGCGTCGGCGCGCCTCGTCGGGGGTGGGGGCGCAAGAATACTGCACAAGCTGCGTGCCTTGACCACAGACAACCGGCGGCGTCCCGGCCACCGCCCGAAGCCTTCTTTTCTTCTTCTTACCGCACCCCCACTCCTAGTCCGCCCCACCAGAGGGCGCCACACTCGGAGGGGGGGACGCCGGCGGCGCCCCCTCCGTCGGCTCTAAGGGCCGCTCTGGCGGAAAGTTAGTTGGGGAACCTTTTTCCGCGTACCCGCCGCGACCTTTTTCTCGATTCGACCGTCCTCGGGGGTCAGGTGACCGACCCCCCATCCCCGGGGGTGGGGCTGCCCCACCCCGGCCTCCCCCTCGCCGGATTCGGCCTCGGGTACTTAAGGACAAAGGAGTGGGGGTGTCCTGCGGCCCCAAATCAGGTGGGATCCTTTTTTCTGCCCCTTCCCCCCTTTCCCCACCCCCGGGGATCGCCCGGGGGTGGGGAAAGAGTTTCGCGCAAAGTCGTGGAATCGGGCGCGGGGTGGGAGGCAGCCGTGGCGGAAGGTGCGCGCCAAGAGCGGGCGCACCGAGGGTGCTCGCTGCAGTTTGGAGTCGTCGCTCGGTGCGGATTGGTGTGCGGTGGCACCGTACCTTGGGATCGGGGAAAAATCTGCGGGGGCGCCAAGGGACTGGGTGGGCCCCGGACCGGGGGAGGGATGGGACCCCTTGGGCCTGACGGCGCGCGTTTTGGGACCCTTTGGACCCTTTCGCGCGGATGAGGTAAGGATCGACTCTCGTGGAGGTGGTGTGGCAAATGCGGTACAAGTGGCGAGGAGGACCGCGAAGTGGGAAACCGAATCGATCGGATATATAGGCGCCTTGATGTTGGAGGGTTGTATGTTGACCGGGTGCCGGGAGTGGAAAAATGCTCGAGAGTGGACTCCATTGTCCGGACCCGTGTTCTTCGTCGATGATTTTGACACGGGGGATAGCCGGAGAATCGCCGTGTCTCCTCGATTGGACGTTGTTTGGATAGGCCTCCTTCAAGCTGATGGGGCGCGGTTTAAAGGGAATCATTAGAACCTCTTATCGTGGTTTTTGGCATTTTGTTACCTCGCCGGAGGTGGGTGGATTACGACTTTGACTGTGTTACCGTTTTGTTTGGGGACTCGATCTTGATTTACAGCCCTGTTCTGGTTTTGGTATGAGTTAAGGCGATTGACAAGATCCAGGTGAATCAATCCTAGAACGCGGAGACGCGACGTGTAACCTTGCAGCATCGAGGCGGGGACGTGAGGGGTGAAATGTAGGGTGTTGTATTGGTCTAGTTTCCCCCTTCGATTCCTTGGCATGGTGAGACTTCTCGTTTGACGTCTTTTCGTTCGTGCCACTTCTTCCTCAGACATCTGGTGACCCTGCCGAGTAAAAGTTTCGAAGCTAACTTAGTGACGTGGTTCTTTATGTACGCGGTGTTGGGCTAATTACTCGTAACATCGTCGTGGGGTGCATGTTTGACGTTGACGTTAAGATTAGTGTTCCGATCACTTATGATCAACGGGAAGTCCTACCAGACCCGACCGTATTTTGTTAAGTTGCTATGCAATATCAGAAATCACCACTCCAAGGCTAGTCCGCAAATAGGATCATTCACGTAAGATCTTTGCCCCTTTGGCAGTTGTCTGGGATCGGCATCCCAATCTCAAGAAGACACGACTAGAAGCCTGACCTCACCCAAGTGAATCGCTATGAAAATCCGAAAGACCCGCCGAAAGTCCTGAAAGTGTCGCGGAGAACGAAAGAGGCCTCCGCAGGCCTCTGAAAATAAAAACACCAGAAACCCTCCAAAGAGCATCCGCAGCGTAGGCATCAATCAAAACCAAGGAACACCAACAAAGACCCCAAAAAAGGGCAGAAGGAAATATCAAAGCCTGAAACCCAGGAAAGTCCGAGGACCCAGTTACATTGAGACCTGCAGAGCCTTTGAAACCCCTGAAGACCCCGAGGACTCCCCCAAGGAGGTGGCCATCCCAACCTCGTCCCTAGCATCCCGGACAGGCGTTTGACCCCGCAGAGGACCGGATGCCTCATCCCGGCAGCGACCGGTCAAAGTGCCGATGAGAAGATGTCGCGTCCTGGGGAAGCGTCGCGGCTGGTGGAAGCCCCCGAGGCAAGGGTGGCGTCGCGACGCATGACCACCCCAAGAGGCGTCCGTCCGCCCCCAAGTTTCGGACTCCAAAAGGACGGGGAGCCGCAATCTCGGGGTCACCTCGCCCCCGGCTGGCCAGGAACTCGACCAGGAACAGCACCCGCGGGGTGGGTTGCCGGCGCCCCGGCCCACTGGGGCAACCAGGACACACGTGGCGCCCCCCGATTTCGAAAAGCGTCCCCGTAACAGGTGAGTCACGTGTGGACGCTGCACGCCGCCCAATCGGCGCCCAGCGACGCGATTTTCTATTTTCTCCCACTGCCCCACCCGCCACCCACCACCCGCCACCCAACAACCACCACCCACCGGCCACTCCACTACTCGTGGCGTCTAGGGGAAGCGATGTACGCCCACGCTTGCGAACCTCGTCGAGACAGTGCTGGATGTGTTTTCAAAATCCTCTTCATCTTTTTCAAACTTAATTAGAGATTAATTGGTGGAATGCTGATAACGATTTCGGTGGTGTCGGACTCGAGGGTGGGGAATTTAGACAGAATATGGGAAGTGCTAAGCGCGCTTTCGAAATTCTCTTAATTTGCTGGTAATTGAGTGGAGGTTCATTGTTGAACCTTTTTGAGGCTTTCCAGGGTTTTTGGTTTGCTGACGGAAGTATGCTAGTTGAGGAAGATGAATTTCGATGAAAATTGCGTTTCCGAAAATTCTCTCTGATTTCTGGGAGAATAATTGATGATGAACCGTGATTCTCTCAATCTGTTAATAATTGAGTGGAGGTCCATTGTTGGCCTTTTTAAGGCTTTCCGGTGTTTTTGGCTTGCTGACGGAAGTATGCTAGTGAAGGTTGATGAATTTCCACAAAAATTGCGTTTGCGAAAATTTTTTCGGATTTCTGAGTAAATAATTGATGATGAACCGTGATTCTCTTAACCCTTTGGCTACTAAGAGCGCCTAAAGGCGCCCGACGTTTGGTCCAATATTGCCTGCACGGTCAGACGAATTTCGCCCATATGTCGAAATGGCTCCGTGTTCAAAGGGTTAATTTGCTAATTGAGAGGAGGTTCATTGTTGGCCTTTTTAAGGCTTTCCGGTGTGATGATTTGATGTCTGATTTCTGGGAGAATAATTGATGATGAACCGTGAAATGTTTTTAGGACCTTTAAAGTATTTTCTGTTTGATGATTGATTGGGCCGTTTCGTGCTTGAATATGAAAAATTAGATGATGGTAAATCATGTTGTATGTGTTCATGAGGGTCGCGAAAAGCCAGTTAACAGCAGTTTGTTGGATGAATTATTGTAACAAATGACTTGGAGACAAAATGGATTACCGTATCCGCACAAACTTCGCGAAGTAATGATGTAAATTAATTGAAAACCTGTGCGTATCGTTTTTTACATGCATAATAAAGTTTAAAGGTTAGGGGAGCGGCGGTTGACAAATTAAGGCTGAGCGAGATTAATGGTTATTTTGTGGGAATTGTTTATTGTTGGGGTTTACTTTACGTGACATGAAGAAGATTTAGGGACGGAAGGGTTGCATTTTATCATACTTAATGTCTGCTTGTTTTTCTTAGACAGTGAAAAATGAAAATAGTAAGTCGACGTGAGAAATTCTGACACTATCGGAATGTTTATTAATGCCAAAATTATACTAATAACGTAGTCAAGGGTTTTAATTATTACGAAAGAAGATGATTGATAGTACGAAATGTGGGCTACGATCGTGGTAAAATTTTTAAGATTTTGCAATCATACAGCATAAATTATACGTGTCAGATTTAACAACGTCAATCGATATCTTATCGAGATATCAAATGTCATATAGTTATTAGTGTCGATACTAAAATGATGGTTTCGTAAAAATTTATGAAAGCACCATTTGGCATTATAAAACATATAACAGAATTGCAAAAAGTAAGAACAAGTCTGCTTAAAACAGTAAGAGCATTAATTTAAAAATATCACCTCATAAATTTTTGGTAACCGTAAATTTTGACTAATACAAGGTTGAATTCAGGGGTGTTGCAAAATTATTAACAGACTAAATAAAAACATTTAAAGGAATTAGTTATAATAGAATCGTTCCTATAATTAGCAAATCCACGATAAAAATAATCTTTAAACAAGGAAGAAGTAATCAACAAGAACGTAGTCATAAGAAAAAATTTTACTTGCAACAAATGTGAACACTTGACCATGGGCCAGCAACATTATTGTCCATTCATAGTTGCAACATTCCTTTCTAGCAAATTGTACATCGCTCATTCGTTTAAGTACACCGATAAAAACCGATGGAAATTTAGAAAGATTTTTAAACACTAGGTAACTTAAGTTTCATATAAAAAACCGTGAAATGGAAGAATTACAAATTAGAAAATGTATAAATACATCTAACACAACATTTACCGTGTTGGTGCATTTTTACTTAAATTTAATGTAACATTACGTGATATTTTTTTTTCGCTTGGCGTCTAAGAGGTCTCAAAGAGGCAATACATTATAATTATCTATAATTTAGCTCAGATGCAGAATGTGATGTCACAGAGACAACGTAATTTATTAATTTATTAATTTATCATGGCATCAAAATAACCAATGATAGAGTATGTAAATTCACCTGGTCATTTTTATCAGGGAAGAGATAATATTTCCCCCCACACCCGCGACTCCTTCGACCTTCCCTCTCGCTTTCGCAAGATTTAACCAAAGCCCCCGAAAAATTCAAAGTTTCCCCTACATCCTCCTAGGAACGGTCCAACCCCAATTCGGACATGACTCTCTTCCCCAGCATCCAAATCTGAAACAGAAAAGAGGAAACGGATCAGCCATAAAAAAAAGTGTGGCCGAAGTGCATCCCTCTCTTCAGCACCCTGTTCCAAATCCTGGCGCGATAAATCGACCCATAAGACATACACCCATTACCCATCAGAAGTTGTTCTTGCTCGCGGAAGTGTTCAAACCCTAAACAGAAAAAAGAAACCGGATCAGCCATAAAAAGGGTGTGGTCGAAGTGCATCCTTCTTCTTGGCACCCCATACCAAAATTTGGTGCGATACGCCGACCAACAGGACATACATCCATTACCCATCAAAAGTTGCTCTTGCTCGGGAGAGCATCCAAATCTGAAACAGAAAAGAGGAAACGGATCAGCCATAAAAAAGGTGTGGCCGAAGTGCATCCCTCTCTTCAGCACCCTGTTCCAAATCCTGGCGCGATAAATCGACCCAAATGCATCCCTCTCCTTGGGGACCCATTCCATGGCTTGACGGGATAAGTCGACCCATAAGGCATGCACCCATGACCCATGAAAAGTTTCTCTTGCTCGCGGAAGCATCCAAATCGTAAAAATCGATAAAAAGGGTATGGTCGAAGTGCATCCCCCTCGTCGACACGCCATACCAAACCTTGGAGCGATATGCTGATCAACAGGACATACGCACATGACTCATGAAAAGTTGCTCTTGCTCGGGAGAGCATCCAAATCATAAACAGAAAAAAGAAACCGGATCAGCCATAAAAAGGGTGTGGTCGAAGTGCATCCTTCTCCTCGGCATGCCATACCAAACCTTGGAGCGATATGCTGATCAACATGACATACACCCATGACCCATGAAAAGTTGCTCTTGCCCGGGAGAGTATCCAAATCCTAAACAAAAAAAAGAAACCGGATCAACCATAAAAAGGGTGTGGTCGAAATACATCCTTCACCTCGGCATGCCATACTAAACCTTCGAACGATATGCTGATCAACATGACATACACCCATTGCCCATGAAAAGTTGATCTTGCTCGCGGAAAGTTGCAAATCCACAACAGAAATAATAAACTGGATCAGTCATAAAAACCAAGGGTGTGGTCAAAGTGCATCCCTCTCCTCAGCCGCCCATTCCTAAACTTGGTACCATACATCGACCCCCAGGACACGTGCCCATTATCCATCAGCGTTACCCACGCATCATCCACCAAACGTTGCTCTAGCTCGCAGAAGCANATAGTCATTACACAAGGGAAATTCTACGGTGGCATTGCGCGTTGCAATACACGATAATTTTACCCCATAACTTGAAATTACCAAAATTCCTTCTAAAATATTCCTTTTTAGCTTCAAATTGGACTATTTGAGATCATCTGAATTTTTTAAATGGACGAATTCGTGCCATAAATAATAGTCATTACACAAGGGAAATTCTATGGTGGCATTGTGCGTTGCAATGTGCGATAATTTTTCCCCATAACTTCGAATTAACAAAATTCCTTCTAAAATATTCCTTTTTAGCTTCAAATTGGAGTGTTTCATCTGAATTTTTAAAATGGATTGATTCATTTTAAAATGAGTTTTTAAATGGACGAATCTAGGCCATAAATAATAGTCATTACACAAGGGAAATTCTACGGTGGCATTGCGCGTTGCAATACACGATAATTTTACCCCATAACTTGAAATTACCAAAATTCCTTCTAAAATATTCCTTTTTAGCTTCAAATTGGACTATTTGAGATCATCTGAATTTTTTAAATGGACGAATTAGTGCCATAAACAATAGTCATTACACGGGGAGGGGAAGCTGCTAGGGTGGGGGGTCGTCTTCGGCCCCCTCCGTCGATTGACCTCGCTTCGGCGGGGGGAGGGTGGTGGCGTCGCGGGAGGGGAGGAAGACGCCGCCGGAGGGGGTTGACGAAAATGACGCGCGAGACGCGAAGCAACCCCTCGGAAAAAGGGCGACCCGAAAAAGCGCGACCGACGCCCTGCGTCGGGGGGCGGGGGGCGTTCGACTACCTCCCACCCCTGGTTTGAGGAAGGTAATGAATTCCTGGGTGACTTTCTCTCTCTCTCGCTCTCTCCCCCTCCCGGTGACGTTTCAACCCTCACGGGGGTACGTTTCCTTCCAAGTTTCCGTCTCCGATCTGGTTCGGTCTAATGTTTGCTGAGGGGCATGAAAATCTTGGAATTATGTATTCCTTTTGAGAGGAGTCCCTCGATTTACGCGGAGTATCCGTTCCACGTGGATTCGGTTTAAGGTGGTATAGAAGTGTGATGTATATCGTGTAAGTGTGATTTATAAGTGTGATATATATATATTAAAATCGTTCATTTTCAANAGAAAAAGTGAAAATTTTTATAAAACTTTTGTCCTGACTAGGTTCACCGAATTATCTGAAACTTTAACACGTGATTATGGAGGCTCTAAGGAAGAACGCGCTGCTCGTGAAATTTAACTTTGACTATTGTCGA